TACTCCCTCCCTCCCTTCTTCCCCTCTCTATCTCTCTCTATCTCTATGTAATCTTTTTTTTTTTTCGTTCCAATAGAGCTGAGGAGCAGTCGACAGTCGTCGTCAGCTAATCGTCATAAATCTCAACCGCTATTGAAGTTGAAATTTCATTGTTACTTTTCTCTTTTCACTTCTGTTCGTCTGGACTGGATATATTCTCTTCTTAAGATTAGGAATTTCTTCATATCCTCACACATACAGCAGTCATTCTTCTATATTCCGACATCAATCCTCACATACACACAAGTTAAAAAGAGCGCCAACGATGAAGAGACGAAGAAAAGGGGAGGAGGAAGGAGAAGCAAGCAACAACTGTTTCTTATTCTTAAATCTTCATCTACTGTGTTTCTATGATTGCTGCATCTCGTAATAATTCATACACTCTCACATGTTTCTCATCTTCTGCTCTCTCTGATAACGATAAAACATAATTCATGTCCTCTAATCTGTTATTATCTATCTATTTCTCTTATAATCATATTATCTTTTTTTATCTTCTGAGCTTTCGGTCAATGGCCAGGTGCCAGATGACAAATTCTGTCATAATATTTCTTTCTCGTTTTCTCTGCGCTCTCTTAATATTATACACTCTAACATCTACATCTATTGCTTCAGCTTCTCGCTCATCGTCATCTGGCCAGTAAGGGAGGAAGATTACGGTAATATGCAGACAATAAGAGACGAGAAGGATTGCGGTAACTATGTGATTTCATAACTTTTATGACTATAAAGGTCATTGAAGAGCTGTGTATCATCCTATCGATTGTTTAATATGATTAAAGAGTTGAGGCAATGAGAAAGCGGAAGACAAGCCTGATCAAGTTGAAATGAACATATTGAAAGGAAGAAAGAATTATGATACGGTCATATGAATGCGTTACAGAAGAAGAAGACGAAGAAGATGATGACAGATGTGTAGACATGCTTGTACAGCCAGGAAAGGCTTTATATGGAAGCTGACAGATGAGATGAGAAGAAACATTGTGAATAGATATGTGTGTACAGATTGTATTTAATAGTCTTCACAATTACTTAATAGAATCAAATTGGCCATAAATTGTCAGATAAATGTGTTTCTTATGTTTGTCTCGTTTAAAACAAACGCAAGACAACTAATTGTTTTCAAATTCTTCTTTACAGATCTAACGGGAGACGAAGAGGGGGGGGGGGGGAGTACATCATGATGGAAGGAAGAGTCAAGTTGTCGTCTTCATCATAGAGGAGATGAAGCGAGTTATCAGTTCGATTTTGACACTCGCCTCTCAAATTTAAACAGATTTTGAGAATAAAAAAATGTAAGAGAAAGGTCAATTTCGAAAAAAGTTCAAAGTCATCAACCTAACTTCATCATCATCGTCAATTGAGTTGTTAGAAAGTCATGTGGATGATGTGCAGAGACGGTTTTGAGAGTTGAAGAACAAAAAAAAAGAGAGCAGAAGTTTTAATGAAAAATTAAATGAAGAAACTTGGTTAACGAATGAGCTTCTAATAGTATTTTGGTTCGAAGATGAGTATGAAAGAGAGAGAGGGAGAGAGGGAGAGAGAGAGAAACAAACAACTGAATACTGAAGCTTCAAAGCTACGGAACAACTTCAATTTGAAGTTGAATGGCATGCTGAAGGTGTGAATGTGTAGAGTTGAAAAGACGTTCAAAGCTGAAACGCCAAATGCGAGAAGAGTTGAATAAACTGTGTCATAACATAGAGAAATATTAGGGCCATCAAATGCTTTTATCTTGTTTAAGGGATAATGAAAAAAAAAGAAGAAAAAAAAAGAAATGAAGACAAACTTCATTGGATTGGAAAGCTTTCAAAAGCTTCTGTTGAGGCTGTCTCTGGCTGTGTGTGTATGTGTGTGTGAGAGCTGATGAAAAGAAAGAAAAATGAGTTGTTGCCTCAGGCAAAACAAGACAAGAAGAGAGAAGGAGATGAAATGAAATGATGATCGTTAAGAATTTGATTGAATTTAATCACAATTATTTGAGATTTTTCAGATTTTACAAGTTTTTCAGCTAATTTTTACGATTTCAGGGTCTCAAGAAAAAGAAATTTTGAAAAACGAAATGAGCAGATGAAGCTGGAGAGAATGAGGAAACAAGCATACAAACGAAAGCTAACGACACGTACACGAAGGATCATACGGTAATATACACATTCGAATATTAATAATGAAAAAGAATATTGAATAACTTCAGTAAGCGAATATAGATTGTACAGAACCTGCTGAAGAGAAGATGATAACAACCAACCACAGGCTCACCGATTTTGGGGAGATCGAAAGGCCGATGACTGATTAGGCTATGCGTAGCGGCCGATGAAGAAAGCCGAAGGAGCCAGGTTGGTGAGATAGATGATTGAGCTGCTTCTTCATATCCTTATCTCCGGATGCAGCATCTTCTCTGTTCAGATATCTCTACTTACTGTGTACTCTATCACTCGCATCTCCATTCATAATGAGTAATTGTTGAGGATAGAAGTAACAACAGACCCATAAGCCGACAGATTCTGGTAGCGAAATGCATTTGGAACGCTGAGCAACACAGTTGGCCCGAACGTGATCGTAAACGGCCGCCAAGATGCCATCAGATTCTTGTTTTCATCTGCTCAGAGACAGGCAAAAGAAATATATTAGAGGTCTGAAGACAGACACGTAGGGACGGAGAAAGAAGAAGGCTGTGTCATAAAACATTAGAGGAGGAGTTTTCATACAACCGTTCCGCGCACTTAAAATTTTCAAAATGAAATTAATGTTCATTGTCTTCATCGAAACACTTCACGTGATGTTGTCACGTGAGTTGTATGCAAATGAAGTGAAAAAGAGATGTTCGGCAGTGTTTTTTTGGAATAACTTTACTTCATTTATTGGTTTGTGTGTCGATCGTAAACGGTAAGACCTTTAGCTCACCACAGCAGAAGTTACAAAGTCGGAACTGTCTCAAACGGTAAGTAAAACACTTCAAATACATATTGATCGTTGAATAGAATAGCATAAAGATGAAGAATTTTATTTTTTTATAGTTACCACGATGAGAGATGATGCAGAGGCAGAGATGAGAAGAAAAAAATAAAATAATGGACTTAATCCTAGAACCATTTAGATGAGACAGCTGATCATTCTTCCAAATAAAAGACACATGCTTCTTCATTTTGTGAAGTTAATGAAAACAAACGGAAACAAACATATGCAAATCGGCACAAAAACTATAAACGATTCTGTTTGAAGATGGATGAAGAAACAAGAAGATGGTGATGATGAGACTATCTCTCACTTCCGGTACTCTTCTGGTAAGCTTTTTCTCATATGTCTGTCATTCTTCTAAAACGATTCTTTTTCTTCTTCTTCTTCTTATTCATCTCCTTCTCCGGCCTCTCCTTCTTCCATCTTCTTCATCTTCGCATTCTACTTAAATGTACTTCAATAAAACGTCTAATGTTTCATGTCTTGGGGAAACTCATCACCATTTCAATCTCTGTCTATTTAATTCATTAAAAATTGTAACCATCTCCTCTCATTGTCTCATCCAAATCATGAATTTCATCTTTGACTCAACCACATAATTCCTTTCTTTCTCTTTGTTTCTCATTTCGCTGCGTCTCTCACACTATTCCATCACGTCGGGTGTCCATTTAGGGTAAAGGTTCATCGTCTTGCTCTCATTATCGCTATCAGCCGTCATCTTCAGCTCTTCTTATTGAGCGCTTCATTTCAATTTCCGCAATAAGCCTCTCAGGCCTACCGCTCCTTTCGAGTCTCTTCGTCAGCTGCTCTTCGTTGCCGACACACGAAAAATGCTCGTTTCCTCATATGGCTTATAAGATCACTAGGGACCAAAGCTGACAATCATTTGCTAACCTTAACTTTCTATAGCACAAAGGAAATGTGTGAGAAGTTCAAAGACACACACTGAGAGTACAAAACGTAGTTCAAAAAAGAAACAACGAATATACAAGAAGAAGCTATCGATACAGGGGTAGAAGTTCAAAGAGACTGTTTCACAGAAGCATAAGATGGACAACTGGTGCTATGTTAACGTTGGTGAGGGACGCAATGTCATTTGATGCTTCCGTTTACGGACTCTTTTCTCGTTAGGTCATCTACAACCATAAGCCGTCCGAACATGACGAACGAAGACTTTCCCACGCTCTCAGCAAAGAGCTCGAGAAGATCATGTATGTGTTCGATGAGTCGGCATTGTCGCCGTGAAATCAACCTTTTCGCATCTAATGCCTTAAGCTTTTCCCAAGTAAGTCTCTGGCACTTGGGTCATCAAACTAATCTTCGAATACAAGAGAAGAAAAAATTTCAAAACTTTTCTACAAAATAATTTATTTGAGGAGCAATACACGAAGATGCTACTAAGGTATGTTGCGTGGGAGATGAAGTGCGTTTCGCGACGACTTATTTTCTATAAAATACAGAAGAAAGCAGAGAAACATAAGAACCAATGAAGCTTCAGATGGCGGAGTGAAGAATACTATAACAAAAAGGATTTTTGTATAAAAATAGAGGAGACAGCAACACTCGCAATATTAACATCACAGGATAAAAAGGGAGATAATAAAGAAATTTTTCCAATCTTTTGCTCATCCACAAAAGACAAATAGAATAAAGATACAGTTCTTATATAAGCAGATGGGAGAAACATTCTGTAGGAAGGATTTTGGAATTTGTGAAAAGAGACGCAAACACAAAGCACACGCTTAGCCGAAGAACCTCAGATGTCATATCTTCGTTAACCGAGAAAAAAACAAAAGGAAGCACTGGAAAGGAGTACAATCGGAGAGGAAGAGAGGGCAAGGGGAAAAGGACAATGAAATATTGCAAGAAAGTTTGTGATCAACACATCCACAAGCTAGGGCTAGTGATATGAAGACTTCATAGCCAAGCGGAGACTGTTTGGGCCGGGGTGACAGGATAAAACGGAACAACGACACATAAGTTGTGACTGCTCCCTTCTGTTTCTATTGTGGAGAGTTGAGAAGTCGTTCGATAGCAGCGTTTATGTCACCGAATGTGGCACGAAGAGCTGAAAAAATTGATATAAGTTACTTCCAGGTATGTTCAATGCTCACCGGCAATATTCTGGGCCCGATTAGTGAAACCCATGGTTGACAGTTGTTCAAGCTGTGATGCATATTGGTCTTCTGGATTCTGAGCCTGTAAATATGGAATCATGATAAGATCTTTAAGACATCTCTCATATGGTACTCTCTTAGTTAATTTCATTTTATAACCTCTCGCAAATAAATGAAAAACCATTGATTTAAACATTGACAAACATGATTGCGCAAGACAAGCAGGAGGCATCTGACAGACACAATCTGAGCAGCCTTGACGATCATAAATTACAATTAAGTTGACTTCAATACTTCTATCTTATCTCATCCAATATTAAGCCTTTATTAAAAATCCTCATCTCATCCTTCTATTATTAGAAAAGATGTGCTGCACCTTATGTGACAACTCATTGACAGATTACGAAGCCGGCAGTCATCAAAACAATCCGACAGTTGTCAGAAACAAAGAAGGGCAATTGTTGTAGAAAATACAAGAAAAATTGAAGCCGACACACAAACCGTTTCGCAACACCTGACAAGCCAAGAACTTTTCATCTTCAATACTCATATGCTGTCACTATTTATGTGATTGAACGCTTTCGTCATCTTCAAAACCCAAGCCGTTCTGATGCGCTACCCTTTCAACTTCCTAAAGTGAGAGAAGAGCCAGCCAGCCTGTTAACGACTTCCTTATTTGACATTTGTTATACGGTTCTCCGGATTGTTCTATTACGATATCTCGCTTTTTCATACTTCCTTTGTTTCCATCAAAAGACAGAAACGCCTTGTTTGTATGGTCTTTGACTACCCTCCTATACTATATCCAAATTAGGGCTGGTGTTGGTTAAACCTTTAGTCTCAGGCTTACACACCCGAGCTACTAAACGGTTGCAAAGACAACAAATCATCGAAGCACATGTCGAAATGATCATCCGCTTCTTACAGCGTTCTTTATCCAACTGGCAACAATGCAGGCAGGGGCCTGAAGATGAAGAGAAGCAAACAGAGCACATTTTGTGCTACAGCCATAAAACTGAGGAAAATTAATGAGAAGCGGATTCGATGAACAAAAACGACCCATCGCAGTTTGCAACACCCGGAATTCATAAAATGAAACGAGCGATAAAGAGATTTCCAACAATTTCGACGACTTTTCAGCTCCCGGGGACCTGTATCATTCTGATAATCATAAACTGCCTTGGATGAAAACGTTATGAAAAGGTGAGTTGATGTGAGAAGATGGGTGAGAGCCCAGAAGAGAGAGAGACGCAGGGATAGAGAGAGATGGAACTATGAAAGACAGCTTGCTTATGGATGTAAATGGATTGGATGATGGCAATGGACAATCTCTGATTATTTCCGGAATAGGCAGTTATACATGGCGCTTCACAGATCCATATATGTGCAATCATGGCTAAATCGTTATATTCTTTGTGAGTCGTCTATTGAAACGACCACAACCCTCATATAAATAGCAGATGCCCAGACAATATATAATAATAAAATGGCGGCTGCCCGCACAAAGCAACAGACAATATTGAGTGTTTCGAGGAATTTTGAGGGAAATACAAAACTTCAGAAAAATTGTGGGAACGCTTGTGCTCAGCATGTTATTCATGCTTCTCCTTATCCATCATCTGCCATCACTCAAAAAACAGCCAGATGTGGTAGTGCAATTGACAATGCCTGACCTGAGCGAGTTAGTTGCTTGTTTGTCTGTGGACATTTCCATCTAAGGACAGTCACAACAGTCACATGCGTATTAAAAAAACCTTGGTGATAGATATATGTTTATGTTATAGTCAAATGTGGTCATCTATCTCGTTTTACTGTAACTGCTCGCATTCAAAATTTACACAAAGAGCCGCGCAGTATATTAACTATTTCGGTCTTTTGATGACAAATAGCTACTTGTCACCCATTGAACGGTTCAACAGATCGTTCACAACCACTCTTCCGTCTGAACCATTCGATTGAAATTAATCATTCATTAAGTATTTCCCTGTCCTTTCACAAATAGCTATTAACGGATCAAAGACAATCGACTATCCAAAAACTATGAAGAATTAAAGGCAGGGACGTTCCGTCGCACTATCTTCCTCTCTCTCTCTCTTCCTTCAGAAGTCAGTCTTCTCATCAAGCTTCATCTTCCTGTCGATGTCAACGTAATTTCAACAACATATTATTGTGTTCTGTCGCCTCATTAGGAAACATGACAAGTCAGCTTTCAACCCTAATACATTCTGAAAAGAAGCTCCCAATACTCAAAATTCAATGTCAAATCCGATTTCGTGATGTAGCCCCATTATGTTTGTTTGCTATGCTTATGCAATAAAGCCAGTAATCACAACGGCCTTTTATAGCGAGGGATTAACTTCTATTGCGATCATCGCTTTTCATAAAGAGAAAGCTGCGATCATAACTTTTTGGGCGAAAGGTAGACACATACACATAACTTCAAGCCGCACAGGAGTGGCGAAGGAAATATTTACGAGACGGAATGGTATTCTTCTTAATCCTCCTATTACAATCGTAAGATATTTTAGAAACTCGATATCATATGAGGCAAGCTGGACACGCATAAAGCGCTTATGGCGAAATTCGAGATGATAATAGCATTAGGAAAGACAAAATCAGACGAGAAATCCGACCTTATTATGTAAGCTGATTGAACTCAGGGACTCGACAAATTAGGAGAGAAAAAAATAAACTCACAGGTTGAGCTGCTCCAGCACCCGCTGCACCTCCCCCCAGATTAATTCCTCCCAACATACTATTCATCATATTCATGAACTCAGGTGGGAAAGGGTTTCCAGCAACGCCACTAAAAGATAATACTAGGCGACATGTCACGTTTCGCTGTTACCTAGCAGCGCCTCCAGTTCCAGCAGCGCTTGGAGCGTTGGCCTGGGCATTAGCACCATCAAGGTTTAAAGGTGCAGGTATACCTCCTAATGGGTTGAAGAGCAATCTGAAGGAAGACAAGCAAAGTCTCAAAACCCTAAGAAAGTTATTTTACCGAGCTAATTCTGGTGCTTCTCTACGAAGTACTTCAATTCCATCATAAATCTGTCGAACAGCTTCGTTAACTTGAGGATTAGCCATAGCTAACAAGTGCTCTGGACGAGCAATCTTCAAAAAAAAAATGTTTAATGTGATGAAAATGGATCATACATTGTTGAAAGCTTCGGAGATTTGCTGGTTTTGAGGATTATTAGCCGCATTAGGATCTCTCTGAAGGAACTGGAAATGAGAATTTAACATCTAAAGCTCGAAGACCAAACCTGCTCTAAGAATGCTGGCATCATCTGATTGATCATCTGATCAATAGCAGGGTTGTTGAACATTTCTACAGAAGTAAACAGTAACTCTCATTACTCATCTTGGTAGTACCTTCAAATGATCCCAAACCACCTAAACCTCCTAAGGAACCTAGTGACCCGAAAGGATGATCAGCACCTTCAGCCCCACGTTCAGCTCCTTCAGCAGCATTACCGCCAGAATTTCCCCAAGGGTTAGGTAAAGCTTCACTGTTTTCAACTCCAGCTCTTTGACTACGAGAAGCTTTAAGAGAGTACAACATGATAAGAACATTCGAAGCATAAGCTTACAAGTATCTTCTTGACCATTTCTAGAAGCAAAAGGATTTCCTCCAAGTCCAGCAACAGTTCCGTTGAGTAGAGGCTCCTGTACATCATGATACAAACGTTGAAGAGCAGCTTCACCACCAGGGATTCCCTGTAAAATTGAGATAGGACACGATTCTTGCATAATTCATGGTTTTGATCATTTCTTATTACGACGAGTCATGCTTAACACTCCCAGAATAAAAGAATTCATCGGTGAAGGATGAGTAAGAGTGAGACACATTTGTACACGTCGGCTTATATGGAATTGTAAGTTTGTAAAAGCTGTTCAATGAAATACAATTTTGAATTCACACAACACTTGTTTACTAGCTCTATTCTTGATACTAGCAAGAGAATCATTTCGGGTTGAGTGTTAGACATTAGTATTAATGTGATTTTGGTTATAATGTAGTTCTCATGCATTCTACTATTTCCAATAACATCGTACAACCATTCCCAGTTCAGCATGACAATTACTAATCAATATTGTCATCGCGTATGGAACACAGCTCTTTCGACAGATTTTTCGATACTTTTCATACATTTTCTTTCGAAACTCACTTGTAGATTACGAATAGCTAAGTCATGAGAACGTAACATTTCTTGGTACATATTAGGATTACGCAAAAGCTCCATAGTTTGTCTCATGACGTCGGGATCATTCAATATGTGGCCAACTTCGGGATTTCTCTGAATTACATTGGGTTAACACAATTATTATACATTCCCAATTGTCACCTCAATAATACTTTGAATTTGGGGATTATTTGCAAACATTGAACGCATAATATCAGGGTTGCTCAGAAGCCTTTGTACAACTGGACTTTCCATCATTCTTCTCAATCTATCAGGTGAGGGATAAAAGGGTGAAGAGGCGTTTCCCTATAGAAAGTAAAATTAAATATTGGAACGGTATTGAATACACTTACAGCACGAGCTTGATCAGCGGGAGATGCACTAGGGCGAGGAGTAGCCCCAGTTGAAGCCCCACTTGATGGAGTAGTCTAGAATTATTAAAATTTTAATAATAACATTGAGAAGTAAAAATACCGGAGGATTAACTGATGGAGCTTGTTGAGGAGAAGAAGTGCTAGCTGCAGGACGCTGCTGAAAATTAAAAATGTTCGATATATGCAACTTCTAGAATTTCAAACCAATGTGCTGTTATTTTGACGAACGACAAGATGAATAGCCATGCCATCGGTGATATCTAAGAAGGAAATCAAGACATGAATATTGAAAATGAGCAAGAACATACTATGTTGAACAAGAGTCTCCTGGTCTTTAAGAATTTTACCCGAAAAAATTAAGCAGAGCTGTGGCTTCGTGGCATTCTCCAACTTAGTCAAAATCACATCCTTAACCTTAAATCAACAAAAATAAACAAGAAAGTACAAACAAATCTTACTTCAGCTAAGGTTGCTTTTGATGAAACAGAAATCTCAAAAGAATTCGAAGTGCATTTAATGTTTATTTTAATATTACCATCCTCCTCAGCTTCACTCATTTTATTACGTTTCCTGAAAGAATTGGTTGGATTTTTGTTAATATATACGACTCCTAGCATGCTTCGGTTCATATTTATGAAAGAATATTACAGAAGTATACAGAAATATATATTAATATTAAGATGAAAGATCAGTCATTCAATTTTTCACAGGCTGGCTGCATGACGTCATGCCCTACCGTACTTTATTGAAAGAATGGATTCTTGGCACACACGGAGAAAGAGGCGGGACGTTGCGAGACGTTAACCAATCATATGTGGCCACACGTAAGTACTGCTGGCATTGTGTGCGTCTCCGTTTGCTAGAAAGATCTCCACTTCGTTCCTCGCTGTGTCTGGTTGGTCATATCTAGCGCAGTCTACAAAAAATCTCATTCCTGGCTTTCGTAGTCTTAGTGAATTGTTGTGCGCGGCCCGTCAGCCATGCTCCATATTATGTGGACTAATCGGAAATTTACATGTAGTTGAATTTGAGTTTTCCCGCTCTGTTTTTCGAATTTTTCTTGTTTTTTCTCTTCTCAATTCTATGTTGTATCTTTTCCAATTCATTTGCTCAAAGTTGTCTTTGTAGGTAAGCAACTGGGAGAGTATGAAGTATTTGATTCTTCTGTCGGCCGTTGCCTTGGCTGTTTCAGCTGGAGGAGATGTCTTGGAGTACACTGACAGCAACTTCGAGGATATGATCAAGCAACACGAGGTTGCTCTTGTCAAGTTCTACGCTCCATGGTTAGTTTTTGGAATCTACTCCTTTGAGAGACAATTTAGCCATGTTTTTCGCTAACCAAAACTTAAGAGACCTTGGAAAGTTCTCGAAGGGTCATACGAAATTTCTTACAAAAACTGTTTCATCGGAATATTTTGTCTGAGAAAGTAACTCTATCTTCCTAGGTGCGGTCACTGTAAGAAAATGGCTCCAGAATACGATGCTGCTTCTGCTAAGTTGAAGAATAACGATCCCTCTGTAGCTCTTGTGAAGGTTTGTTTCGATTTTTTTTGCGAGAGAGAAGCTTGCTACGTGGAACATGTTGATTCTCGGCCATAAGATAAGAGTTATCAAGGCGGTAGTAGGTCAAGGTCAGCAATGTTTGCTTCACACACATTGGCATTGAAAATGAGAAAGTTGAGTGAATTTAGAGATCGAACGGTCTTTGCTTTACGCAGCTGCGCAGGTGAGTTTACTCACCTGAGCTGTGCTGTTATGTTTAGAACCGATTTGTAAGTGTATCTAGTTAGGAAATATTTTGAAACCCTTAATCAAACTGATATAGTATCTTATGTTGTTTCATATTGTAATGTTTGCGATGGTATCAAATGAACTTTTATAGGTTGATTGTACCACCGAAAAGGAAGTCTGTGACAAATACCAAGTCAAGGGATTCCCAACCCTCAAAATCTTCCGTCATGGAGCTGTTGCTCAAGAGTACGATGGACCAAGAGATGCTGCTGGTATGGTTAAGTACATGAGAGGACAAACTGGACCATCCGCCAAGGAACTTAAGAGCGTCCAAGACTTCCAGAAATTCACTTCTACTGATGAGACCGTTGTCATCGGTAAAACAAATGGACTCTGAATTAGCTTATTTTTTTTGTTCTTAGGATTCTTCGAAGGAGAGAGCAAACTCAAGGATTCTTTCCTCAAGGTTGCTGATACTGAGAGAGATCGTTTCACATTCGCTTACACTGCTAACCCAGAAGTTCTCAAGGCTGCTGGATATTCTGAGTAAGACAAAGACATGCGTTCCCATAACCTGATCGTTTTTCTTCAGTGATATCGTTGTCTTCGCCCCCAAGAAGCTTGCCACCAAATTTGAGAGTAACGAGTACAAGTACGATGGAAACTACGACACTGACAAAATCAAGCATTTCCTCGTTCACGAGACGTAAGAAAACTTTTTCATGTTTCAAAATATTTTCTTCTGTCTTCAGTGTTGGATTAGCCGGAATTAGAACTCAAGGAAACCTCTTCCAATTCGAATTCAAGCCAATGGTTGTCGTTTACTACAATGTTGACTACGTCAAGGACCCTAAGGGTAAGCATTTTGGTATTCATCTGTTGTAATTCTTTTTTTGTTAGGATCTAACTACTGGAGAAACAGAGTCTTGAAGGTTGCTCAAGACTTCAAGAGAAAGGTTCAATTCGCTGTTTCCAACAAGGAAGAGTTCGCTCAAGAAATCGAAACCCAAGGATTAGGAGAGAGAAAAGACTCTGACAAGCCAATCGTTGCTATGATCACCAACGACGGAAAATTCCCCATGGATACCGAGTTCAGCATTGATAACCTCAAGGCCTTCGTCTCAACTGTTCTCGCCGGAAATGCCGAGCCATACATGAAGTCCGAGCCTGTCCCAGAAGAACAAGGAGATGTTAAGGTCGCCGTCGGAAAGAACTTCAAGGAACTCATCCTCGACTCTGACAAGGATGTTCTCATCGAGTTCTACGCTCCATGGTGCGGACACTGCAAGACTCTTGCCCCCAAGTACGAGGAACTCGCCGCTAAGTTGAGCAGTGAAGACGTTATCATCGCCAAGATGGATGCTACTGCCAATGATGTCCCACCACTTTTCGAAGTCAGAGGGTAAGTCTTTTGAGCAAAGTTCACTTTTACAATTAATATTACAGATTCCCAACTCTCTTCTGGTTGCCAAAGAACGACAAATCTAACCCTGTGCCATACAACGGAGGACGCGAAGTTAAGGATTTCGTCAACTTCATCGCTAAGCGTTCCACTGACGGTCTCAACGGATTCGGAAGAGACGGAAAGAAGAAGAAGAAGACTGAGTTGTAAGATGTTAATAGCCTAATTTATTTCTTTAATTGATGATGTGTGATAGCGTTTTTGCAATTTTCATGCTTGTTTTAATTTCACGGTTTCTAATTGACGGTTGTATTTTGTTTTTGGGCGTTACTTTACTTTCACCCTGATACCCATCTGTTCAGATCTACTTTGTGTGATCTTAAAGAATTGGTTTGGTTCTTGTTAAATCGTTGATAATAAATATTTGCAAACCCATACAATGAGTAGATTATTGAAGAACTACTATTTGCAATGGAAACAATGCTCAATTGCTAACGTGAAACTTGGATGCGTTGCGTATGCGCTGCGGCTGCGTGGCGAGATGTTTTTTCCTAGACAAGGCGCTATATGCAAATATTTCTACTCCATTCTATGTTATTTCTGCTTGAAGCTTCATTTAGTAGGATTAAATGATGTTTATTTTGATTTTGACTGCGTTGAACAGTTCTATTGTAGAAATTAAGTTAAATATGTATTATGATGTGTTTAAGCGGAGCTCGTAGTTAGTTCGAAGTCTGATTTCTTGTATGAGCTTTCAATAAAGCATTTATGGTATCGTATTGGTCAGGTTCTCACCTATTAATCAGTGGGAAATGTCAGAATATGTTTGATTTGCGGGTTTTGTTTTATCTGCAGGCGTCACATCTCTTTTGCGCTGCGGTTGCGTTGCGGCCTAGTAGGAAAAGCCTTAATGTGCTATGATTAGAGCATGATATGCAAATGATGCTCATCAATCTAAGCATGTTTAACTACATTTAATCTGAGTTGTTGTGATTGTATTGTGTGTGTGTATCAAATTGGCAGGGATTGACGGTTGCGTATTTAGATATCCCATTTAAGTATATTAGCTATCAACTCACCAATTAGCACTGTCCTGATATTTGATTTGTTGTAGCTATAAACGGAAAGAGCTAATTGGAAGTGATAAAGATATATTTTTAGAATAATAGTTGTATTTTCTGGTGTGACTCTCAGATAGAGTCAGGGGGGGAGGGCTGGTTTTTTTGGTCCTAAGTACTGGAAACTTTTTTTTGTTGCTTCTAAATCATACCTCGTTGATCCTGTTCCATTTTCATTTTCAACTTTTAGAGCAGGTGGAAAAAAAGACCTGTAGCAAATGTGGCAAGAAGAATCTGATGATTCTTCTAATGACAGTGAAGATGATATTATGAAGGCAGCGCATGATGCTGAGGAGGTAAGTGAAAGCATGATGATCCTTTCATCACCCCAAATCCTCTATGATCCTCGCTCTATTCCATAAATTTAGAGCGAAAATATTGAATTGTCTCATGTAGAGGGTGCACAAGCAGGTTCGAATCATGGTTCTGATTATGAACATTCAGAAGGTTTGATAGGAATAAATACTGACTGAGTTCCTGTTTTAGTAGAAAGTCATGAAAGCGAAGAGGAAAAAAGTAGTGTGAGTAGTAGTTCAGAAGAAAATTCTGATTCTACTCCTCCTCGCGCGAAAAAGAACAATTCTCGGAGGTTGGACGAAGATACCAGGAGGGTTAGAATACAAATTAACACAGTTACCTAATTGAAGATATTTAGTTGTTAGAGGAGAACAATTATTTGAGACGTTCTTCGAGGTGTAAAACACAAGAAGTGGAGAAAATGAAAGCGGAAGTTGAAGACAGTGAATCTGGAGATTCAGAAGGTTCTTGGTCTGAAGGTGAAGAACCTAAGCGCAAGAAAGCAAAATCAAATAAAAAGAAATCGCCATCCTATAAAGGGATCAGAAACGCATCACGAAAAAATGTCGACTACACGGAAAAGGATACGGACGAGGATGTAAGATAGTAATGTTTGACAAGGAAAACTACAGTATTTCTAGATTGATGAGAATGATGTGTTAGAGTGGGAAGAAGAGAAACCTATCCCTAGCGACTCTCTTCCTGTAGCTCCGGTAGAAACAATTGAACGAGTAGGTGTTGAAATCTTTTCACGCAAGTAGAAGGAAGTTCATGATCGGCGGTTAGCGTCCTTGCACCGTCCGCAAGACTGAGCAGACGTTCCGCGTGAATTTCATTCTAAATTTTGTTTTCATCAGAGCGGTTATACTGCTTCTATAATTTTTGCTGTTGCTATTTTTCTGTTGCAGGTAATTAAATATCGTATCGGTGTTATTGGTGCAACGGGTTCACACACCACTTGCTATAATAGTGAAAAGAATGATCCTCTTGCGAATTTGGATAAGACAAGAACTGAAGACCAATATCTAATAAAGTAAATTAATAATTTCAATCGACCAAATACTAATTATGCGTTTGCAGATGGGTTGGATGGAGTCATCTCCATAATACATGGGAATCAGAAAGTAGTTTAATGGCATCAGGAGTTGGAGGAATTAAAAAAGTCCACAACTTTGTTAAAAAGCAGAAGCAGATAGATTTATGGTAAGAGTGTGATTTTGAGACCATTTATGAATTATGAAATCAGGCGAAGAACTGCTGACAAAGAATATGTTGAGTTTTTCGATTGTGAACAGTTCATGAATGAACAGCTCTGCGAGGAATATACAAAAGTAGAACGTATTGTCGCTCATCAGGTAGTTATGATATTTCTTCGTATATGTATGAAACCGATGGTTCAAGGTTTCCCGAGAAAAATCATCTCTGGGAGCTAGTGGGACAGAATATTTCGTGAAATGGAATGGTCTTTCTTATTCGGACTGTACATGGGAAGATGAAAAGCTCTTGCCTGCAGAAAGGCTAACAGAATACCATAGGCGAATTGAAAATTTTAAGCAACCTAACAAAAATGCTGCTGTAAGATATACTGTGAAATCTCTTTTATGAATGTGCTTATTTCTAGGCTCTCCGACGAAGACCAAAGTTCGTAAAACTCGAGAAAACTCCCGATTTCCTTAGAGAGGGAGGAGAAGGAAACTATGGTAGAGACTTGAGAGATTATCAGTTGGAGGGATTGAACTGGATGCTTCATGCCTGGTGTAAAAACAATTCTTGGTTTGTAGAATATATCAGAATCTTTTCATATAAGGTCTTTAGCATTTTGGCTGATGAAATGGGTCTTGGAAAAACTATTCAATCCATTTCCTTCCTCTCAGCTCTCACCCATCGGTATGAGGTTTACGGGCCATTCTTAGTTGTTGTACCATTATCAACTATGGCTGCTTGGCAAAGGGAGTTTGTGAACTGGGCCAGTGACATGAATGTAGTAGTTTATATGGGAGATAGTTCATCAAGAGAACAGGTACGAAGTGAACCCTCAATTGTACCTAAAAGTATCTTTTACAGATTAGACAATTCGAGTGGTACAACCCATGCAATAAAAAGTTGAAGTTGAATGCATGTTTGACGACTTATGAAATATTGTTGAAAGATAAAGTGAGAAATTGCAACCTATCCTTATATGTACTTCATCTTTTTTAGTCTTTTCTCGGTTCATTCGAATGGGCAGCTCTAGCTGTCGATGAAGCGCATCGACTGAAAAACGATGAAAGTCTTCTATACAAATGTCTTTCTCAGTTTTCATGTGATCATAGACTCTTGATTACGGGTACTCCATTACAAAATTCTATCAAAGAGTTATGGGCTTTATTACATTTCATTATGCCGGATAAGTTAGTTCTCATACTTTAAGCAGGGATCAGTGTTGATTGTTATAGATTCGAGAGTTGGGAAGAGTTCGAATATGATCATAATGACAAAGATCATAAAGGAATATCAGCCTTACATAGGAAGTTAGAACCTTATTTGTTGAGGCGTGTGAAGAAAGATGTTGAGAAAAGCCTTCCACCAAAGGTAACACCAAACTCTGATAATTTGTTACATCATGATTTCAGTTGGAACAGATTCTAAGAGTTGACATGACAGCACAACAAAAGCAATATTATAAATGGATTTTGACAAAAAATTACCGGGAGTTATCGAAAGGAGTGAAAGGTAGACCTCAGTTTTCTATTCCTTACCACACCGTCTCTTAAGGCTCTATAAACGGCTTCGTTAACCTTGTTATGGAGCTGAAGAAATGTTGCAACCATGCTTCGCTTGTTCGTCATTATGATTATCATGAGGGTGAGGCCCAAGCCCGATTACAGGTTTCTTTTTTCTCCTGAACTTCGATACATCTTTCGATTTCTGTAGCAATTGCTCAAATCGTCCGGGAAACTCATTCTTTTGGACAAGTTGTTATGTCGATTACGGGAAACAGGACATAGAGTACTGATCTTCTCGCAAATGGTTATGATGTTGGACATCTTACAAGAGTATTTACAACTACGTAGATTTCCGTCTCAGGTAATTCAATTCTCCTTTTCAATGCTGAATAGATTCGTTCAGAGACTCGATGGTTCCATGCGTGCAGACTTGAGGAAGCAAGCCTTAGATCACTTTAACGCTGAGGGCTCGACCGATTTTTGTTTCCTCTTGTCCACCCGTGCAGGAGGTCTTGGAATCAATCTGGCTACTGCAGATACAGTGAGATAACTAACATAGGATCGTGCTTCATCTTTTGGTTTAGGTTATCATCTTTGATTCCGATTGGAATCCCCAAAACGATTTGCAGGCTATGAGTCGTGCTCATAGAATCGGACAGACTCGACAGGTTAACATCTATCGTCTTGTAACAAGAGCTTCGGTAGAAGAAGAGATTGTTGAAAGAGCTAAGAGGAAGTTGGTGTTAGATCACTTGGTCATCCAGAGAATGGACACATCTGGACGCACTGTGAGTATCTTTTGTTTTTCACTGCTGACATGAAGGTCGGACTGTTATAGGTACTTTCGAAAACGAATGCTGGATCTGTTCCTTTCGATAAGCACGAGCTTAACAATATTCTGAAATTTGGAGCTGCAGAGTTATTCAAAGAAAGTGAAGGAGAAGAACAAGAGCCAGAAGTTGATATAGACAGGATCTTACTTGGGGCTGAGACGCGAGATGCCGAGGAAGAAAATGTTAGTGAATTGTTTATGCTGTTTAATAATGTTCACGATCAGGTCGGGCCCATGGATTTATTGAGTTCTTTCAAATACGCTAACTTCGTTATTGATGAGGAAAGAGATGTAGCAGAAGCTGCCGCACAGAAGCGTGACGATTGGGATCAAATAATCCCTGAGGATCAGAGAGCAAAAGTGGAAGAGGAGGAACGGCAGAAGGTTTTTGTTCCGTGTTTTCAAACGTATTTTAATAGGGTTTAAATAGGATTTGGCTGGTTTGGAGTTGGCACCTAGGAATCGTAATAAGCAATTCACCGAGCGAAATGTGACTGCTGAGGATGATGATGGCGACAACAGCTCTGATTCCGAAACAGACGCATCGAAACGACGAAAGAAAAAAGCTTGGGGAGATTTCTCCAGCGCTGAGATTAAAAAATTCGTTAGAGCTTTTAAGAAGTTCGCCATGCCACTCGAGAGGTGAGTGTTATAAATTTTTTCTGGGATGCTATTATTCTTTCAAGGCTTGAAGCTCTTGCTCAAGAAGCAGAGTTGGAAGATCGTAGCACAAGTGAGATTCAGAAAATTACCGAAGCTCTTCTTGATGGCTGTAAGAAATGTGAGGATGACTACAATTCGAAGAAAGAAAATGTGAAAGAAAAAGACAAGAAGGTTGTTCTTCTGCTCCGAATCCCATTTTTACTTTCATTTTTCCAGGATGGCGATAAGGTTAAAGATAAAGGACCAACTTTCAAATTCGCGGGAGTCATTGATGTTAACGTCAAACAATTCCGTAAGATGCATACTGATCTTAAACCACTCCATGACGCTCTCTCTGGCCCATCTTCGAGCGACTTCAAAGCACCGCCACGCGCAAGACCACAGAAGGTACATTTTGTAATTATGAATATCAGTCACGTTTTCTTCACAGGGATGGGATGTTGAATGGTCCAGTGTTGATGATTCTGCTTTGTTGAAAGGTGTTTATAAGTATGGAATGGGTAGCTGGGAATCTATCAAGATGGATCCTGACTTAGGATTAGCGGAGAAAATATTTTTGAAAGATAAAGTGAGTCATCAGATTTGAATCTTGAATGACTTGAGCCATTTTCAGGTTAAAAAACCCCAAAAAACAAATGCTCAGCAGAGAGTCGATTATTTGCTGAAACTCATGAACACGAAACCAGCTACTACGAACAATGAGCGGAAACGGAAGGCTCCAGAGCATCCGAACAATGTTGTCGAAAAGGTGTGAAATGGATAATCTTCTAATCAGTCAAGCTATTACAGAAGTCTCGCAACGTCAAATTTACTAAGGAATGGCTCGAAGAGCAATTGTTTTTATTGAAAATTAACAAAAGTGCCTATGCACATGACTTAGATAATACGAATGATCGGCCATTCACGCAATGTGTAAAGATGATGAGATCGGTTCAGAAATATATCAAAAGATTAGCTCAAGGCGACACCGAGTCTGATCTAGCCAAGTGCCTGTGTAGACTAGGTGACAACTGTCGGGACCAATTAGGCTTAATGATCAAAAAGTATGTCACTGTGTTTCTCTTTCATTCATACCTTCATGTTTGTCTATTACAGAAGACCAGAAACAAATCTTGAGAAATGGTATAATTATCTTTGGATTTTCCTCTCCAGATTCGTATCCAAGGAGCCCAATGAAATGTTGCTCAGCTATAGAGAATTGATTCGAGCGGTACGATCATATATAAGATTCGCAGTTATGCCAACACTTTTCAGAAGAGTAAAGGACGAGAACACAAGTCAAAAGATAGGGTGGACAAAACTACAGGACGTGAGAAGAAAGCTGAAAAGGAGAAGAGATCTGACAAGGAGAAGAAAGCTGAAAAAGAGAAGCGATCTGACAAGGAGAAGAAAGACAAAGATAAGGATCGGGGTTCCAGCAAAGACCACAAAGATAGAAAGGAGCATAAATCTCACAGAAGAGACAAGGATAGAGAGAAAGACAATCATGAACGTAAGGACCACGGGAAGCAGAGTAGCAAACCGAAGAGTGGACATAATCACGAAGTAGAAAGAGAGAAAGTGCTCCATCTGTCAACCTTGAGTTCACACTGAAGGCTATTCGGGTTTAAAAATATGCCTTACAACTTGATCTTGTGATATGTCATGATAACCTCAAAGTTCTTGTTTCGAAGGTATGAGCACAGTTCTCCAACTTCTCAATTCATCTCCATTTCGATATGTTATTCTAACAAAATCGTAGCTCTTCTTGATGGCCATAACTTTAGAAGGATCTTTGTGTGACAACACGAATGAGAGCTGAAGTGAATGTGTTCTGCCTTCAAACTAGTGCTGTTCTTCCATTTCTTTCGTCCTCTTGCTGCTCTAGTTTTTAGAAGAATTAGTTCCAATAGACTATTTATACTTAATTTTTGTAGTTTTCCATGTACATTGCCAAAATAATAACCAAATTATGTTAAAAAGGTGTGTAGGTATGAACTTGCGGGTACGAGATACATATACTTGTGTAGGTTAATAATACCTTTCTTTGTCTATATACCTTACACGTCAACAAACTAATTTCGAGTTTCTCAGAGTTTGTAAATATGCCCATACATATACATATATATATCTATATATTAACTTTCTTCTTAACAG